CAGACACATCATGAACCTGAGTAGTTTGCAGGATTTCTGGCAGACTGTATTTGCATATGGTCCATATGACATTTATACATAACAAAGCACATGGAACTTAACTTGGTGCCTTCCATAGACCTCACCTGAAAGAACCTGAACAACACCTTTATTTGTATTTGTTGTTTATGCAGGGAATATCTGATTCAAACACTGTTGAGGTAGACTGAAGTGGGTTCTTCTTTACACTTGACATTCAGGATGTGCAAAGATCCTGCATATTTCATGAGAACAAAAACTTTCCTAGTTATTATTTATGGACTAGATGGTGAAAGAAGGCAGAACTTTTAGAGCAAACAAGCCACTGAAGCACTTCTGAAATTTTTACCAGGGAAGTTTTGTTGGAAAGTGACAAGGTTAATCAGAATTCACTAGTTCATTACTGAAGCATTCTTCACAAGTCTATTAAATCCAGCAGCAACTGGAAGGTCTTTCTTGTCAGAAGATTACATCCACTAAGCAACTTTGAAGTACCCTGGAAAAAGACGTCCAAAGGTATTATTTTCAGTCTTAATTAAATCAACAATCTGTTCATATGCAAATATGTGCTTTATAAGCACACAGGAAGCTCTAGGGATGGCATAATGTCAAGTCTTTTTCAACAGGCTAACCTATAACCACCCTATACAGGAGAAATAAGCCCTATTCTACCATTGGATTTACATTGAAACACAACCAATTCTTGGGAAACAAAATGAAATCCTATTTTCCTAGGATTCCTCTAGAAACTGGCAGCACATACTGAAATTCAGTGTGGTGCCTTATTCCCTGTGAACTATCAGCCACTCTAGAATGCAAGTTCCAAGACTAGGAACAAGGAGTCAGTCCTGGTTACATCTCATAGGTGGTGAATGCTCCCTGCTTTGAAGAGCAGCAGCTCAGTGCAGATGCTTTCAGTGAGTACTAGGAATTCCTTTATTTCAGCCCTTGCTCTGAATTAATTCTGCAGCTCTGAGCAGGCAAGCCAGAGGAACACCGAAGTGGAAATAAGCTCAAGACCAAATCCTTGTGCTTCTGCAGATGGAACAAATGTATGCAGGTATTGCCTTGAAACTTGGACTACTAGGCTATGATGCTGTTCAGGAATTCACTCCCAGGGGAGAGACCAGAAAGTTTGTGAGTTCTTCCAAGTACTTGATTTCAGAAGACATCTTAAATGTTCATACAAGAAAAGCAAAGAGTATGAATTTGGTTTTTAGGCATGGAAGTTTCACCAAAGGTGGTGAGTTCTCAGTGGGTCCTGATCAAAACAAAAATTCTGCAGCATTTTGCCATTGTATCAGAGCCTCCAAGCAAGGCTATTCACCAGGTTGTGTTCAGTGTAACACTGGAGATGGAGGAAAACAACCTAAGAAAAGCAATTGAGGGCTCAAATAAAGTTACTGCTTTGATACAGAAGTTCACAGTAAATCTCATCTGTGATACAAAGGGTGTGGGATTGGAACAGTTGTAGTTGTATTCTCTGGAAGAATACAATGGGTAAGGTAATGAAAAAATGTAAAAAGCTCCTGCCTGTAAAGAAAGAAGAAAGCCGTTAGAGTGTAGTGCTTTCTGTGATGGAACCACCCAGTCTATCAGGTGGGAAAAGATGAAACAAAAGCTGCAGCAACTTATTAGAGCAACAGCCAAGTGAGCCTGTTTAACAGCCGTGCCAGGAAACATGGAAGAGCAGAGCCACAGCTGCAGCTCTGCTGCCTGGTGCAGCAGCTTCAGGCTTAAGGACAAACAGATCCCACTGAGCAAGCAGCAGGAACAAATTAAGACACTGCTCAAAGTTTTGTAAATAAATGTAGTGTTTTATTAGCAGTAGTATTTTGTCAGCATATGAGTCTAGCAGGCATGGGAAATGGAAGAGTTATGAGCTCCAAGACAGGAATTTAGTACAACAATATTCATCCCAACCTCAGAGGTAGCTGCTGTCATCTTAATGGGACACTCCACAGATGAGCAATGCAGCCCTCAGAGGATGGGGTCATTTTTCCTAAGTCAGTCAGTGCTGTGAGTACTGAACACAGGCTGCTTCAGCTCTTGCTGCTAGGGCTATCCTGTTTATCCATGCATTCTCTGACTTCCTGAAACACACAGGACTTTGCACATCTGGTAAAAATACGCTGGCATGGGTAGGAATGAAAAGCCATAACAAGTACAATCAGGAAAGCCATTTGCACCCGAGGTTTGTGGCACTCATCTGCTGGGGTCTGGTCACTGCAGCAGCACAAACACAAACCCTCCTCCCCATTTATGGGATTGTGAGGAGAAGGATGGGTATATTTTTAAAAATTCCACATACAATCCAGACAAAAGTCTGGGGCTTTTTTCCAAAGACATGAAACATAATGTTTCACAAGAGAAACTAATTTCATGAAAGATCAGCATGTAATTGCTGTATTAAAAACAAACAAACAGGAAGATATTGCAATATTAAATAGGAAAATAGTAAACAGTAGCCACTGAGTTAATATTTTCTTAATTTAAATTAGAAGCTGTTTAATTGGAGCCAAAGGTGCAATCATACACAGTTTCACTAATCTAGATAATAAACAGCAAGTTTGGACATGCAAGCAGGATCCAGAAAGTGCATGTCTCCTTCAGGGAAACAGCTCTGCTGGCACTCAGAACATGCTGGATGTCAAACTCTGCTCATCTTTCTACTTTCTGGTTTGAAATTGAAAGGTAGAAAAAATAAAGGGTCCAACATAACAAGCAATCCAATATAAAAAAAGAAAGTCTCATAGTACACTTCACTAATGCAATTAAACCAATTAAAATATGGCTGAATTAACAAATGCCCATACAAGAATGGTACTGGTTTGTTAAACCATTTCTACTACTGCCAGTATGTAAAATAATGGGAAGCTATTATTTGAAAAATCCTCCAGGAGTAGTTTGTTTTTTGGCCAGAATGGTGATATTCTTTGAGTAATTAGGGTTACTACGTAACTAGAGTTACAAAGTATTCTGGACTGAAGCTTTGCTTGAGAAAAGAGCCCATGGTCCACTATGGTGTTTGAGCACTAAGACACAAAAACCAAAGTGAGATCTCTCACATTTGTTTAAAATTCTGTAGTTAAATTAGCTGCACTGGTTTTAAGACTTGCATGAACAAAATCGTCAAGTTCTTTATCCAAAGAATAAGTGTTCAACAGCAAAAGTTTCTGAACTGCATATACTCACTAAATCACATATTAATCTCTAATGAAGTAATAAAATTAATTTAATAAAAATGCTCAGGAAAGCACATGCTGTTCATTCACATAACATGCTACAGAGAAATATTCTGTATGGGGTTTAGGGGATAGAGCAAAGCTGATGCCTGTCTTTGCACAGGTTTTGTGTTCACTAAATGGGCTTTTAAATTTGTATTCCATTTGCCTTTTTTTCTCTGTTCTGATAACATTACACAAAAGTATAAATACATAAACCATTTGACACCAGACCTTATAAAAGACTGTAGCACCTTTAGGGTTTCACTTGCAACTTCTCTTCTGTGTATATAAAGGAGTTTCTCTTAACAGAGGTCACTGTCAACAAAAAAAAATTCAAATTCAAGGCTGGTAGAAAACCATCAGTAACTAAAAATCTGTCCAGTGGCACTAGGTGAATGGAAGATATGCAGAGGAAAAAAAAACTAAGATGCAACTACTTGGGTGCTTGAAAATGCAAAAAGGCTTTTGCCAGCAGAAACCTGACCTGGGCTCAAAAAATAGGACCTTACGCTTCATTCAAGTACTAAGGGCTCACATGCTTATAAACTGTTGTTTCTCTACTTTTCTCAAACTACAAAAGTCAGTAAGGTGTAAAATTTTCAGTTTAGAAAATAATGAAATTGAGATAAACCAGGGAAAACCTCAAGGAAAAGCATATAACTTAAGGCAACCCTATGTGAGTTAGCCATAAAGTGACTGTGGTCTTAGAAGAAAGGAGCCAAATGAGTTTGACTGAGCAGCACCTACCTAAAATCCAGCTTCAAAACCCAGAAAATAATATTGTCTTAAAAGTTATTTCCTTGAGAAGCTTGTGCAACATTATTAAAGGCAAGTAAAATGACACCTTCATGTTTCAAGACATATTTTGCCAAATACTTTCCCTGACCACAAAACCTGTGGAAGCTGGGTTTTGTTTCAGGCTCACACTATTGGGAAACTGGTTTGACCAACCAGTTCTTGCATCATTTGATATAAATGGATGTTCCAGAAGCGTTCAAGCAGATTTCATTTTTTCTTTCACTAGCCCCTGTTCTTAAATATGCATCAATATTCTATGTATAGATCATCACAATGGTCAATCAATACCTTGGAAGTACCACAAAGTTCTCAAGTTTACATAAGATGATTGCCTCAGCTTTTGTCTACAGAGTATTTTTGCATAAGAGACAAACAGTCCTCCCTGTCAGAGTGGACCCAAAGTAACTCACTTTTACACTAAAATTCCGCAAAAATGCCTTTGAAACACTTCAGTAAATTTGTTTGGCTTTTCTTTGTTAACAAAGAATCACTGCTGCAAAGGTGAGACAATGCCTAACCCCTCAAAAGGAAGGGCAACATCTGAAGTCTTCACCTAAATTTGCTCCAAGAAATTTTGCAAAGCTTTAGGCTAGTTTATTTTATTTCAGATGAGCTTTATCCTAGACTATTTTCTTCTAGACAGAAAATGCTTGAATCACCTGTATGAGCTATATCCTCAGGGCTGTAAATTCAGCAATCATTAGGTAAACACCAAGATCTAAAGCTGGAATAAAGGACATACCCTGCACCAGAGTCCACAGAGGAAAGAGCTCCTGTAGAGTCCTAGAAGGAATGACGACACTCTGCCCCAGCTCCTACCGGACAGGTGTGCAGAGAGAATCTAGAGACAGCCATGTCTGTGTTCTGCTGAATCTGAGTTTAAACAAGTTTGAAAAGTGGTTTGGTAAGTATTCTGTTTAATGTTACTCTAGTCCTAAAAAAAATAGCTACCTTGAGTCATGACCTTATCAGCAAGCTTTAAACATCAAAACATCTGCATAGTCTTGAGATGAAACATTTTCTCAGAGCAGGTTACAGATGTGATCAACTTCTTACTTTAAAGCATGGCAAGTTAACAGTTTCATTGTGGCCATTTGTTCAGCACAGTGTGAGAGCATAAGACCACCTAAGCACTGCAAGATAAATTAAAACTCAAATGTGGAAAGGACTATTGAAAGTTATCTACATTTACAGTTCAATCACACATTTTTATTTAACATCAGTATACAGAGGACAACCCCAGCAAGTTATTTTGTAATGTCAAGTATTTAGTAAAGTTCTTCAGCTGTAACAGTGACAATAGAACAGCTAAAAATAAGCAGTATGAAACAAACATGATCTTCTTAAAATTATAAATATACCAACAATACTTCTTAAAGCTTAATTATTGCAACAGTTAAATTAACAATAGTTCATGTTAGAAAGGCTCTATGAAATTTATTCAAGTTGTCAAGAAATTAGATGGAAGTGTAAAAAGGAAATACATATGAATTTTACTTTTGATTTTCACTAAAGGTAGTCAATACAATTTTGTACAGTATCACCTAACATGTCAATCTTTAACAAACTCCAGTATACAGAATCATAAAATGCAGAAAAAATAGTTTAATCTTTACATGTAAATTGACAGTAAATTAACTGACACAAATTTTATTATCGTAACATAAGCAGGCCAGCATTTTAAATATTAATTTAGTAGTTTTATGTTGTTAAAGGGGCAGACATATACAGTCATTCCAAGTACATACTCAAATTTTAAGAGGTGATAATTCAGAACATGGGTTTTCTAGAAAGCGTTTAGTAAAAGTCATGTTATTTCCTAATCCAGACATCCTCATCATAAAGCCTTTAGAGGGTTATGATCTCTCCTGGCTGTACTGGAGCCACTTGTCACACCTCCTCACACACGCACACACACATACCTTGCTATAAATATCACACCAGTGTACTCTAGGTTTAATTCACCCTGATAATGTGGGTATGCCATGTGCAACTTTGCTATTGTGCACATTACAGAAAGCTTCAAATTTTAGCATGGTAACCTGAAGTTGTATAGCTGTGTTTCAGTTTAACTATAATCATCCCTGAAGGTTATACAGATACCGTATCACGTTGAAAGAAATCTATTTGATAGTACTTAAATACCAGCAATTGAACTTCAATTGTAATGATGAAATGCTCCTTTCCACTGAGGAAGAATTAGTATGTATAGCTGCTTGTCTCACTCAAATATAGTACATGAATGTTTAAGTACTTTCACTAAAACAGAAGCCATACTAAAACATGATACTGTACTACAATTGTAGTTAACTAGAAAATTCAAGGATGTTATAATTTAAGTCTAAGTTTTCCTGTACAATAAGTCAAATAAATAAATTCCATGTGCATTTGTTTTACAAAGTGGTAGGATGTTTCTCTTGCTAGGTTATACACTGCCATTTCACCTGGGGGTGCTTCTGGCCAATCTTACCTTGAGCTTTCTGACACAGGGAACTCCCCAGCAACTTTCACTCCCAGAAAATGGAGTCACTGTACAGACAGTGAACAGTGAATTCTGAAGCCCAACACAGAAATCATGTAAGTAGTTACTCTGACCACTGAGTTCAGAGAAAACTTACTTTGCATATCCAAGTACCACTTTGGGGTTTTGTGGATTGCTTTTGTTGGGGTTTTTTAATTGCTTCTGCAGATCCTGTAATTCAGATTGATGTAGCTATAAAGATAGCACAATAAAGTTTACTTTTCTTCCTTCCAAATTCTGTTTCTATATTTCTAGATTAATCCAACAGTTCTGTAATCCTGTTTAGGTTTCCCATTAGGGCCTGGCAAAGACAGGGGTGAGAGATGACAGCTAATTGTCACCATGTTGAGGAGAAAAGCTCATACTCTTGTTAAGGCAACCTATTTTTCTGACCACCCTGAACCTTTCACAGAAACCAGCTCACAAAAAAAAAAAAAAAAAAAAAAAAAGAATAAAAAATTGAAACTAATGAACCCTGAACCTCATCCAATTTGTTTCTAATTGAATTTTGCCATTCACTTCACTTCACTGACTGGGAGTTGGCAGAGCAGTTCTGGAAGTGCAATGCAAGAACAGCACATCCCGTGAGGAAGCTCAAGGTATGATTTTGTACACACTGAAGCAGTAATTTGGAAAGTTTATAAACAAACTGTCAGGACAACGTCAGCACTGTACAGACTATCAACTATCACAGGGATCACGGCTGAACAGACACTTCTGGATTTATTTTCCACTCAGGGCAGCCCAAGCCCAACCAGAAAAATAAACAGAATTTGTCATACACTGTCAAATTATCCAGCACATGTTTTGATGGCTGTTGGAAATGAGAGGGAGAGGTAGCACTGGCTCAATGGAAATTACATTAGACACTGCAAGCCTCCTTTGCTTTTCCATCCAATTCTTTCTTCAGGCTGGCAGTGGCATCAATTTAATGAAGGCCTTCTGAGGCAATGATGGAAGCAGCAGCAAGATTCAGAGGCTTTTACTCTATAGAGTTGGCAGACAAAAAAGTGACAGAGCTTTAAGATCACTTGGGGAGCCATATGTCAAAGGAAGACTAGAAATAGCAACTTTAAACCCCAGAGTAATGGGACATGCTAGGATGAAACAGCTGGTGAAACAGAAATGATGGTATATAACCCAGTAAGAAAGACATCACCATGAGTGTTTTATACTTTGACAATTCTCATTAAATAAAATTAAGTGCTTTCCTATAAACAAAAAGGATGCTCATAACGTCCTTCTGGCACAAGTATTTTCCTAACAAAGCCCTGTAAACATGCCACCAAAATTTAGTTTTTACCAGCAGAGTGAGCTCACTAGAAATGCAAGTGAAATCAGAAAAACAAATTAATTTGTAAATTTCTAAGTAAATACATCCTAAAGAATATGGCATTTACATCAGTGTGCAATATATTAATTTTGAAAGTGATAACTTCAGCATGAAAATTACTTACCTGTAGTTAAAGTTTTCCATATTGGCCAATACATAAATCCTGATTTTTGGTACTGCATACTTTATCTCTGAAATATTTGAAATGTCATATTCCAAATCAAAGTTAATACACAAAAATATTTAAGTTATACTCAGTCTAACAAAACCCACCTCAGCCACTGAAAAATAAATGTGACAGTGTAGTGTTCAATAGTATTCAAAAAAGTTTTAGAACAAAAAGAAAATGTAGCTCACAATAGCAATCTGAGGCACTGCTGTAATTAATAAGATGTGAAGTGCACTGAGTCACAAAAGTATAATTGCTTTAATACTTCCATTTTGAGCAAACATTTTAAATAGTTTAGTGTTTAAGGGAGTGTTGGCTTTTTTTTTTTTAATTAATGCTGGATTTGTAGTTCTCAGGCAAAAAAATACTTTTAGGTAACACCCTCCTCCCTTCTCCCATAAAGGGGTTTTCAATTTTAAGTTTTAGATTCAACCTTTAAATATGCATTAAGATGCAGAGCAGACACAGATTTTTACGCACACGTATGTTGAGACAAATTTGATAGGATCTCAAAAAAGCCTACATTATACAAACAATTTTAAGAAAAATAATTGAGTTTTACTTGCAAGTTTATAGTAATGAAGATGTGGTATCTAAATATATACAGTACCTCTACTTCAAAAGTCAGATTTATGAACCAAATGGTTAAAATCTAACAAACAACAGATTTTCATTTAAGTTGCTCAACATGGGATTATTCAGGTATTACCAGATCATTTCTCTCACTTCAGGTGATAGTCTACATCTCCTTTCAGAAATTTTCACAAAAATAATAGTCCTTTTTCTCAGATCAACTCTGGAAATGTCCTCATAGCTGTATTCCTTTGAACTGTTGCTGGCAAGCAGAGCTATTGTAGCACAAAGAACTTTTTAATGTTAGAATCACCACATTTAGCTTCAGTCAAAATTTAGCTATCTATACATTGGACAGAAGAAAAATAAAAAAATATAGGTGTTCAAGTGCATCAACAACAAGAGTGAAAACTAGTAATAGACTAATGTAGGTTCAGCTGATGGAACAGGTGCCATCAAAAACACGAGCTTGTAGTGGTTGAACTGCCTTAACAAACCTGACAGGAACAGAACACTGAACCTACTGAGAGAAAGCTTGCAGGATTTTCCCTAACTTAAATACATAAATCAAAACCTGGCTATAATTAGAGTTCCTTGTTAATACTGATTCACAATTGAAGAGCATAAACTACAGTCAGTACAGGGCTCACAAATCTGTGCATAAAATGGCTGATGTTTTAATAAGAAGTGGTTTCACATTAATGGCAGGCCACCACAGAAAAGAATGGAGGAATAAAACACTTTGGTTTTCACTTTTTCAGAGGCTCACGTTTCTCATTAGACTTAGAAGCAGCAGCTTTTCATAAGCTACTCTCATTGGGAGTGCTTATTTTTTAGAAAACATTAGAAGGATTATGATTATTTTAGTGTTTGACAGGTTTTACTTCAATTTTTACATAAATAGCTTTCACCATATTGTGGTTATGCTTAAGTATAAGAACACTGATCAATAGTTTAGATGCACAGTATTTATTTCTTCTGCTGGAAGGCAACTATATTTAATAATTGTATCCAAGACACTTCAAATCATTCAGAAATATGGCATGCAGTATCCAAAAGTATGGCTCTGAGGATATTTTTTTTACATTAAGCATAAAGAAATTTTATATTCAACATTCATTATATTTCAAGAAAACTATCTATTCAGAGTTCTAGCTCTTTGATGCAGCATTAAGGATTAAAACTTACCACTTTACCAGGCCTTGCCCATGTGCAAATAAATCCCTCCTGACAAGCAGTGACTATACAGTCTTCAAGAAAAATTAACACAGTCAGTCTTTCATGTGCTATCTTTTTACAGATAAGAGGCTCTAACAAGGGAACATCTTCCATTCGGGGACAGAGAGGTGTTCCCAAAGTTTTAGCTGGGTCCGTTTTGGTTTTAGTAACTAGGTTCAGTTTGTCACTGCTCTTGCTAGATATATGTCCCATGCTATGGTTTCTCTTGTGATCTTTTTCATGGTGTCTTTCCTTCCGATCATGTAGCGATAAGGTTGCAAATTTACTAACGCCAGAAGCAATGGCACCATCCATGACACTGCTTTTACTGCCAGCGTTTGAGACTGCAGAGTGTGGAAGGCTGTTTGACCGTGGAAGAGGAGGGGGTACAGAGTTTCCAGGTGTTGTGATACTGTTTCCATTACTTCCTGGGTTAGTTCCACCGCTTCCTGCAGGTGGACTTGTGGCATTCATGACATTTGTATGTGTCCTTGCTCTTGACAGAGGTTGGTGGGGGAAGAGGATATCTTCTGTAAGATCCCACAAACAGAGCTGTGTGTCCTGGCCTACCGAACCAAATCTATACGTAACACTTACTGGACGACTGTCTGTAGAGTTCCTTTTGGACAGTCTGGATTGCGTGCTATTTGCTCGATCTCTGCCAAAATGAAGGTCTTGGAAATCCTCATCACTTCCGCTAAATTCCATGGGGTCGCTCTCTTCTACACTAGTGGTGTACGGATCAAAGGCCACCACGCTGACCCACGATTTGTGTCCGTGGCCTCGCGCTATGACTCGACAGTCCACAAAAGACCAAACTGTCACCAGGTCATCCTCTCCGCCTGTCACTATGTATTTCCCATCGGGGCTCCAGCACACACACAGCAGTCCTCCAAAGTAGCTTTTCATTGTACCATGCAATTCCACCGAATCAAAGTTAAACACGCGAAGAAAACCATCCTGGCTCACGCACGCCAAGAACTTCCCATCAGGGGAAAAGGCAAATTCGTTCAGGGCACCCTCACCTACTGTCCATTTAAGCAGAGGGTTTCTTGTGGATTTACTCTTGCAAGTGTGCACTGCAAAGCTCTCTCCTTGTTTAAGTAGCTGGTAGTGCGGGGCTGTGGTACCACAAGTGTGCTCCACGTTATACAAGTACATATTGCCACTGGAATGAGCTACTAGGAAAAGGCTTTCCGAACCTGGTACCCATTTTACACAGGTTACTCGGGACTTGTCTATTAGTCTCTGTGAAAAACAAAGAAGATACACATCAGAAACTCTGAAAATTAAGGTTTCCATGATTAACTGTACATCTGAGCTTTCTGGGGGATGAGGAGCAATGTTTAAATAAAGTGAACTTAACTTTCTAGACAAGAACTATGTTACTGTATTTGCTAAAACTTATCAGGCAGTAAAGAGGAAAGTGTTTCCAGACAAAGTACTTTCAAAGGTTATTATTATGGTACAGTCACATTCCACAAAGACCGTACTTCACTCAGGCCAATCTGTTATGAATCTAAAGGCAGTGCTCTTTGGTTTATTTTTCCCTATGTAGGTTGAAGAGCATGAGAAGGAAACAAGAAAACATTGAATAAACTAAAGGGGAAAAAAGCAGTTACTCATCTGTATTACATAGCAAACAGGTTACAAATCAACAACAGTAAATTTAGGCTTTGATTTTATCTGAAATCACAAATAAAAACCCAACCTCTGAAAAAAAACCTACCAGCTTTTACTGATTCAGGGAGCAAAGGCTGTTAACAAGTGACCCTGTTATCATGTGGCTGCAAAGTCAGGAGGTAAATGCACGGGCTGGGTGAATTTACAAGGCACCACCAACTTTTCACCTTGGAATCCCCAATCTCCAATTATATTTTTCTTTCAATAGCCAAGGACCTGTCAATACCCTGTTACCATTTGATTACACACTTTCCTTTAAAACATAACTTTAATAGAGTTCATCATTGCAAAACAATGCACACACATTAAACAAACATTCCTGGTCATGATGTCTTCAATGCTCTAAGAACTGAGAGGTAAAGTTTGACTCCTTTGACTAATTCAGTTCTGGTGGACTTCCAAAACTTACCATGTTGTCCATGGCACCACTCAGCTGTAACTTGCAGACAAGTAATTCTTTACAAGCATATTCAAGATTTGTATTTGGCATATTGATTGAAAGCAGAAAGAAGAGCTGAGCTACACAAAAGGCAAGAGTGCAAATATAAAGAGCCTAAAGAATACCAGAACAAGTTGTAAAAGCCCTAAAAACAAAGAAGAAAGAAGAATCACCCCCCAAACCTTGCTATGCTGTTTATCACACACAAAACATCAAACTAATGGATAATACATCAATTGTTATCTCTTGTGGAACTGTCACTAGAAGCAGCACCTGACCATTTTAGATTACACTTCTGCTGCTCTCAACCTCAGTATGAAACTAGAAAGTCTCTCTACTGTAAATTCTCATTGGTTAAAACAGCCATGGTGTATTTGAGAGCTGAGAAATGTAACTAAATATAGCACTGTTCCTTCAAATTGAGTAATTTTAAAATAATAGTGTCTATGATTCTGTTGTGATATTTTAACTAGTTTGTCATATATTCACTGATATATATTCATGCATGTCTCAATAATGATGGCATCAGAAACATAACCAGAAAGTTACCTGGCACACACTAGGAGAACATGGGCAGGAAACACCAGTCCAGCTGGTTTCCTGTAGGCACCAATCTTCTCATTGCCAATATGCAAAATTTCTTGCTCTCTACTAAAGCAACTCAATCTGACATACAACGTTTGCTAATAAGAGCACCTGCTCAAATTTTGTATCAATAATGGCACTTTATGTCCATGGCCTACATGATCCTAAATATTGCAGAGAAACTCTGCAAACCTGATCTTTACTTCAAGGAGGCTGTGAAAAACAGAAGATTACAATTTGCAATGAGAACTGATCAGCTCAGGAAGACAAGATGCAGAGAGACTCTAATCTGACATGTTCAAGTGACCACAGTGCATCCCCTTCCCAAGACACAAACTCTGAAGTTAGGACTTTCAGGAGTTTTTTAAAAGCTTCCAGCTGGGTTCACAAAGTCCTGCAGCACAACAAAGCCAGACCTGCAGTCAGTAGGAGCAGCAGATGCCTTACAAGAATGGTCTGAATGCAGTATCAGCACATCAGTGAGGGATGTGAGATAAAGAGCTTATGTTCAGTCTAATGGAAGAACAGGAAGTGAAGAAGCTTCACTCACCAGGCAGAAACACTTGCCAAGATTATCTTGGTCATGTTTTGAAGAACTTGAAGGGACAAAATTACAGGCACAGGACATAAATGACTGAAAAATCTGAGGCAGTCAAAGAATCTGCATTAAGGTCTTACACAGCTTTGGCAACAAAGGTACAGGACGAGTTTATTAGGAAAAAAATGCAGCTCAAGGCTTCAGTTTAAATTAAAAAAGGATTAAAAAGTAAGATGAAAAAGCACTGGCTAATTTGATAATAACCAATTACTGCCTGGAAACAACTGAATCCGTGAGGTATATTTGACTGGTTTGGGCAGTAAGAAAATATTACTGGTTTAATTTTGATACAGCTGGAAGGAATACCACTGTGGCTACAGATGGATTTATGTAGGCAGCCACAAGCTGCACAGTATCTATCACTCACCTCAGCCTTTCAAGTCCCTATCATTCTCTACATCAACAGAATTTTAAAAAATTTGGTAACGAGTTAAGACTATGCTAGGGCTATTGCATTTTATGTTCAACATAGCCTATCATAACAGGCTGATTTATTTCATGTATCATATACATTCTGATTGCTATTCTGATTGCTCTACCACAGCTGATAGGCAAAGCAGAGCTTTGGGCTACCTGAAGCACCAAATTACTCAGGACAGGTGGTGAATTCTGTTACCTCCAGCATGAATGCTGGATCTGTAGAACAACGTTCACACTCATTCAGACCACCTTATGCCTACAGTTATTCCTAAAGACTGTAGGCTATCTATAAATCTATCTAAACTCAAAATATATTCTAAATCCAATAGGCATCTTCATCTTGAAGCAAATGAACTGGTTCAAACATCAGTGCTCACTAACTTTTCTCTGAAAGGCGCTTTAAATACAAAACTTACAAACTTTAAATACAGAACTTACAAACACATCTAGGGCAAACTTCAATACTGTAACTGACAGAATAAAAATATATTTCAGTTTTAGAGTTGGTTGTAACTGCAGATAAGGTCAGTGTGGGAAACAGGAATTTGTCATTTAACTGTAGCCTACTGTGTGCAGTCTTGGTAGCACTGAGCAAATCCTTACATCAGCTTGGGAGAAGAGAGATCACCTCATTTAGATTTCCACCAAATTGTCAAAGGCCACATTTCCATCCCACTGAAGTAATCTGACAATAGCACAGACAAAGAGCAATACTGGCTGATGGAAGTGGCTGCAGTGCTTCCAGCATTTGGGGAATACCACAGGAGCTATTCAGCCTGCAACACAGCTCTGCACTGGAGTCACCAGACAGTAAACACCATCAAGGCCTGGAAACATGCACTGGGCCTTGATATAACTATTCCAGCAGAAGTTTCTCTCAAAGGAACTCAGCTCAGCTACAGGAGTGGGAACTGCTCTGTGAAATGAAACCAGCTGTTTAGAGTATGTCTGCTACCCTTAATACTGACAATATTATTGTACAAGAATAAATAAGACACTTTTGGAGGGGTGGGTGGCAGGGGTAGGACAATGCTAAAATTAACAATTCAACTACTTATACAGAGGTTTTTACCAACAGACAAAGATTCATTAAAAGATTCTCCAGCACTATTTCCCACTCAACACAAGCAGAGGCAGAGCAGTTGGGACAAGGCCAGGTAGGAAGAAAAACGCCCCTCTTCTGATCTACATGTTGCTACTTTTAGAAAACTGAGGAGGAATTAGATCTAATTGTAAAACATCCCCAGTGAGAACAATACTTCAATCTTCTTTGCACAAGGAAGGAGGAAGGCAACACATCTCTCTGAGGCGGGAAAGGTATACTTTGAAAGCTGAGCAAGGCTTAACTTCATCTGTAAAGTTTGAATCCAGATGTGAAATTTCAAAAAAGAAGAGAAGAACAAACAAACAAAGCCAACCAAGAGACCTGCAAACCTCTCTATAGAACTGAATTAAAACAAAAAAGGAGCAGAAGAACAATCCCCAAAAGAAAGTAACCTCCCCCAAACCACCCGAATTCCCTGAGCTTATCCTCTGCAGAAAATGCTGTCACAAGTCATCCCAGTTACCAGATTTCTTTCCTTATTAGCATCTGGACATTTACTCCTCTGAGAATGCCAATGCTACCAGATACTCAGAGGCAGTGGTTCTGTAACTTGGCATTAGTGCTCCCCATAGTACTCCTTCTCTTTCCTTATTGCAGCAACAGAAAAAGCAGATGGAGAGTTTCCTTCTGAACATCACATGGCCAAGACATCATAAACCCTCAGCATTTCTGTGCACTCAGCTTTATAGCCTACTCTTATCCAAGCAAGCCTTTAGGAATATAGGCAGTTTCTGCTGTAATGCCCCAACCATAAAAATGTGTATTTTTAACTTATTTAATATTTTGAGTATAAAATATGAGTTAAATAGCGGCTTAAAATTTTCTTCTTCAATGGCAATCCAGAAGCCTCAGAAACAGCTGAATTCAGAGCACACACAGCAACATTTACATTTGTAGACCTTATTTCCATCTGTAAACTGTCCTCAATGCTAGTTACAGTATTACCCAAACTAGAAAGTGCTAATTTTTAATCTTAAACCCCACAGGATGCCTTTATCTTTTCACAATGAATAACATTTTTATGTAAGTACTCCAAGCCAATGGAACAGCTGAAAAACAAAGGCAGTGACTGAACAATAAGCTACACAGGCAAATGGAGCCACATCTACTGAACTTTGAAAATCTAGAAACTTCAATATCACAAATACATTGCATGCAACAATATTAAGATTTCTACTTACTTCCTCATTAAATAATTTGCTAGTTTCTTTTTTAATAGGGTCTATAAGTTGGACCTGGCCTGCAGAGAAGCCCACTAGAAGAGACACACTTTCTGCTGTGGCTGTTAAATGATTGAAGTCGTGGCATGTAGGCTGTGTTCCTTTGTATATCCTTTTGTCTATTGGTTTACTCAAGTCCGCAGCCTGCAAAGAGAGCAAACAGAATTCAGTTTATCACAATATGTGCACATAACCACATCTGTTTGAAAACAATGTTCATACCACACTACAATTTATGCAGTCACAAAACCCTACTTTAAAAAGCAGCTCTGCATTTATGAGACATCCAAGATCTTATCAAAATGTTTCTCTATATCAAGCAAGGGTACAAACTCCTCCTGCCCTTGCCTTGGCACCTACAGCACGGACAAACCAACAACAACCACTTGGTAGCACAAAGGCTCCTGTGAGTCCTCAAGATACCAGAAGGCTTCTCCTGCCACAAGAGCCATCACAGAGACAAGGCATCTTCTACTTTTCTAGTAGCACTTTCCCAGTATTGAGTACAACCAATTTAGCATTAAAAATACCATATTCTCAATCACACAACTCTTGAACTCTAAGTCTGTCCTTTAACAACAGGCAAACAAATGATATTGTTCTCCATAATCACAAAAAATGATCAACCAGCTCCTAAGAGAGCACTTTCTAAGAACAGTGATTCAAGATACTGGTCCTGTGATTATAAAATGCATTTTACACCACTGAGCTACAAAGTAATTTACTTCTGAAAACAAAACTCAAATATAGCTCAGACAAAATAAGTGCTAACAAAACTGAGGAATTTCAATATAAACAAATTAAGATCTAGCACTAAGTGTCAGAAGAATCAAAAGGAACAGAAAAGCAATTTAAAATGCTCCCTCACTTGTGTCACCCGTGTTTATCCCCATATCACTTCTGAACAGACAACTAAATCTTTCATCATCCAGAGATTAAACCCCACACATTTAATATGCAAGATCATACACCAGGTTCAACCTTGTTTTTTAACCTCCCTATTTACGAGGTTCAGAGTCTGTAATTAGAAAGCTGCAGATACTCAAACAATATTACAGCCCTCAGACATAGCTGTGATTTGGGGCTCAGATTCTAATTTTGATATATACTTTTTCAGTTATTTAGTCAGAGGAAATCAGGCCAGCAATAAAAGAGAAAGTAAACAAGCTTCACATAAAATAGAATTGCTCCAGAGCATTAAACCTTGGAGGACAAGGACTGAAGAGTAGCACATCTTTGGTATTCATAGAGCTACACAGACAGAAACTAGACCTGTCAGTAGGGAAAAATCCTAACCAGCTACACAGGTGAGCCATTTCCAAGGCAAATTTAACTACAGGATATGCATGACAAGCACTTATACACAACAGTATTAAAGCTGCACTTATGTTTTGCAGCATATACTATAAACCAGTTTAATCAGGTGTACGGTCTCCTTGTTAAAAACTCCAAAATGAGATGAGGTATTACAATTTTTAAAGTCAGCAGACTAAAAGGTTATTCCCCAGAGTCCAGAGATCCATTTTAAGCTAAAAGAGAATATTACCAATATCTCTTCAAGGAGAAATTAAATAGAATACTAGTTCTACTGGGAGATGGCAGGATAATGTGCATGCCTGCCACAGAGCATTCTCCAGCTCACAGGCTGATGTAAATCTGTGATCTGAAGTTGAAAAATCAAATCCTAAAGGCCTTGCAGTTATGTCTTAAGACTGTGTAACATTCCCTTGTCCTGTACCACTATAAGCAAGTGATGCCAAGAGAGAACTCTCAGAATTGGGGTAGCATTTCTATCTGGAAGAGCAAGCTACACAAACACATAGCCATACCTCAAATAAAGCAGAATTAAAGCAAACCTGTGAGACTCAAAGTTCTCTCCTCTGGACAGAAGTTGCAGCAGGACTCAATGCTAAGAACAAAGATCCATTCTAAAGTAAAAATTACTTGGCCTGAATCCTACTGAATGAGCAGAGAACCACAGACTGTCCCAGCCAGCAGAGGACACGGGCATTACCACCTTCCTCTGAATCCTCATTGTCTCTTGAAGCAGCTAAGAATTAATAAATAGGTGGATATGTTCAAACTACACCTTGCTCTTTTGTCTGGGTGAGGTTTTACATCACTAGCTTTTGTTTTTGTTGTCCAACAACTTCGGTGTGACAAGTTCCCCGTCGCATGAAATCGTGTGGTAACAGACCTAGCAACACATGAAATTCTGAAAAATTAAATCTAAGCACAGACTTCACTGTGCTTATTCTAGCTGTTCTCTGGGAACCAGATGGCAGTGAGAATCTGTCTGAACTTAAATGAAGTATAAATAATCTAATTCAACCCAGAATTAACCAGGCTTCTGCTGACAGGGATGCCTTGCCTTTTATTTACATGCAGCTACTGCTTCCAGTTACAGCACAGTTGTCTCATGGAGATAAGTCAAATCTACAAGCACTAAAACACTGCTTTGGTCTACATCTCTCTTAACTGCAAGAGAGAAGAATCAATGGGCACAGCAACTAGGAGACATTTTCTTTATTTCTGCATGAAGGTTGCTATTGGATTTTGCTAAGAACAAGAGAAGTGCTTACTCATAAAATTCAATCATGCATGGGAGTCAGCTTTTCATTAGCTCACCACTAAACCCATTTGCTATTTTGTGAAAGATGCCATTCTCAGAGAAGAGCTTTTACATGAGATCTTGTCCATAAAAAACTGTCAAATCCTTGGATCTGACACTGCCTACTGAGCAAGGTGATATGAACTGCCCCCCACTTAGAAGTGGTGATCTACTTTGAAAAAACCCCAAAAAACCTTGGGATTAAGTGTTGCCAGGCATGGAGATTAAAAACACAGAAGCAGACACCCTCACCATGGCAGCTGGCAGCAAGCTATCTGGGACTTCCTGTCCCAATGCTTTTAACATTTCCTTCTGAAAAACACTCAGCACTATTCCAGCCTGTCCACTCTAAGAAACTCCCTCAATTGTGGATGGTTCAGGATGAGAGCAACACTTTCAGTAATCACAACTGAAAGCACAATGGGGCAGGATGCAAGGCAAGGAATATCAAGACCATCCTTCCCTGTGCAAGCCTTGAAGCACATCTCAGCTTACCAAGGCTCTGGGACTGGCACCTTGGCCACCTGGTACCTGTGCTCAAAGTCTGCTCCTTCAGACACAGGTACTGCACCCCCTGGGCAAAGAGACAAGGAGTAACAGCTTTTGGGCAACAACTGGAACCTCACACACCTGTATAAAGCCAGTGAACAAAATTGCTGTACCTTGAGCATCAACAGCTCCCAGGTCCTGTCTCTGAGGAGATTAAAACTCTACTTTAAGAGAAGTAGACTTGCTCACAGAAGAAAAATTGCTCACAGAAGAAAAATCGAACATTTAGGTTTGCATGATGAATTCATACTCTAGAAATAAAACATGAACCATGCAACTGTTTGAGGGACTTCCTATTCTTATTTATTAAACTCTCACAGCACAGTTTTAACAAAACTATTCCCATTCTGTTGGGGAGGGAGGGAAGAAAAAAAATCTAACAGTTTAACAGTAGCCCATTTACTCTGGACTCATGACTTCCAGTAGAAGGGCAGTCAAATGGAACATATTAATCATAGCTTTAACTACATAAACATTAAGAAAAAAAATGAATGGCAAAAAAAAACCCAACAAAAAACAGTTGCCTTGGTTTGAAGCAAATTTTAAGCATTCAGATTCTGATGTCTGAAATGCCTGATTAGGATGGGCATCAATAACCTTGGTTCTGTAGCTGTGTGTAACTCTAAGGTCAAAGCCAAAGATCTATCCAAGATTTATTTTATTGATCCAAGACTTAGAGCTTTCATAATAAGATTACCTAAACAGTGAATCACATTATTTTAAGTCACTGTTTAATCACACTCCTTGACAGTTGTTATTTCTTCCTGTATCTTTACTTTTCCTAACTTACATTTGCAGCTTTCTGCAAATTTTACTTGAATGAAATGTGTCATACATGCTGCAATTCTTTCCAAGCTGAAAACATTGCCAAGATATTAAATTAATTACCTTATTAATTTATTCCAGGTAATTTCAATTGTATTCATGAAAAGGCTTCCATTAGATACTTCATAGTATTTAATATTACATTTGCCAGGAGACTGGCTTTCAATGGGTCATAGTTGTGAGATTGAGACAGAATAGTGCATTTAATAAAAATTTTACTGCCAAAAAATCCTCTTAAGAAAATCTCTCTTGTCCAGAGAATTAATTGATCTTGAACAGCAGATTACAGATTGCCTATGTATGTACAACTCTAGTGCACAATAAAAGAGAAGACACACAAGAACCAAGACAATGTACTTTTGAAAACAATTCCCTCAGTATTTCTGGAGCTTGGAATTTGTAACTGACTACCTGTAACCTCCTACCTCTTCCACACCTTGCTGTCCAGGGATTTAATGCTCCCTGGTCTAGGGAAAGAGAAAACTGAGCTTAATATGCTTATTGTGTTATAATGCTGTACAGGTAACAGAAGAAATCAATTCTTAGAATTATTACTAAGTGAGTTTCTTAGAACTTCACAGATGCTCTTTAAAACTTGGCTGAAAAAAGAGGCAAGGCAACCCTTGCTGGAGCCCTCTGCTTTACACCATCTCCTGTGAATAGGACAGAACCCTCCCTGAGTTGCTCACTGCATAGCAAGGATAGGGAAAACTAAACTTGTTTATTCTTCCTCCACATCTGTGCTGTTCTCCTTCTCCTTCCTGCAGATATGCCAAAGGACAGGGACCACTGAGGAACACAAGAAAGCAGAGCTACCCCAGGCACTTCTGTAGAATTTTCTGGCCAACTCCATTCCTTGTTTCTGTACACAAGTTTGTGACAGAAATACCAGAGTCAATACTTCACACTCCACTTTATTAACACAGGAGCGAGCTTCCAGATTTTTTGGTTATATAGCCCAAATAGAGATCACTTAATATTAGCAACAGAATAATTTTTAGTTACATCACCGTTGTTTCAAGCTGATCTGATCTCACAGCTGACCCTGCTTGGGGCAGGTTAGACTGGAGACTCTCAGAGCTTCCTTCCCACCTGAATAGCCCTGGAATCCTAAGCTTAGGATCAACCAAAGCAGCAGCAACAGGGCCACTCCCAGCTT